GGGGGGAGTTTCCGTTGGTGGAGGTAGAAGGAGTAACAGGAGCTTGTGGGGAGGATTTTCATTAAGACTACAGTAGATGAAGGAGGAGTCAAGCCCCAAAGTACTACGGTTTCAAAGATGATAGGACGGGATAGAGGGCACACTTATTATGAAACAACTAAACATTTGTTATGCTTTTTAATGATGCCTTTAGTAGTGTTCTCATTCGGCCCAAAATATAAACTGCCCCTTGAGACAGCTTCTGCTACCTCCTCTAATCGGTTGCTCAGCCTCTCTTTGTGCCATCCACAATAATTCAGAAGGAAGGTTCAGTCGTGGTAAATCATTCTGCTATCATCTGAAGCACATCACAGCTCTACATGCTCTGACAATGTGTATTCCGAGTTAGGGGGTTACACATTCCACTAGCACCAAATTAAAGCAACTGCGCATTCCCTATTGGAGCCTCTGTCAAAACCGGCCTCTTTTTATTCATCCCATGGAGGGAAACAGGAGGACGGAACAAAACAAGGCAGACTGACCAACCTGTCGCCTTGAACGGCCTGGTCTCAAATTATAGCTCAGGACTCAATGAAAACGAAGCCGGCAGTTTCATTCCAATCCCTATTTGTAGCTTTTGTAGAGTTGTGATAAGGGTTTAATGGGAGTAGGAGTCTCCAGTAATAGAAAAACTGGCTGGAAAATGGAGAAATAGGAAATTACAATGGAGTGCTTATTTCTTTACCACGTTTCTACTCTTTGGGTAATTTTACAGACTATTTTGTACACTTTAGATTGCTTGTGCAACTCAGTAAAAACAGGAGGGGGTGACTCACACTCATTGCTTTAGCATGATATAAATGCAAAGGCACAATAATAAATTTTTTTGCATAAATCAGTTGTTTTTACAGTATCTTCTGAGGAAACCTGTGTCTAGATCTAATGTGAGGCTTGTGGTAGCATCAGGAATGTTTTTTGCCTCTCCTCAGCACCATTCTGTAGCATGGGAAACCCACTATAGAGGATTCTTCGGACCTCCAAGGTACATTCTTAGGGCATGTGGGAGGGGACTGGAGAAAAAAAGAGAGTAGATCATGCCCTCCTCCTTCCACTCATGGAAACAACCCAGTGGACTGCTCAGTGGCCGAGCACAGAAGGTCTTGCATTTAAGCCACGGCATCTCCAGATTAAAAGATCAAGTAGGAAATGAGGTAAAGCAGAGCCAGTTCTTTGCCAAAATGCCAAGTGGACTGTAATTAGAGGGAAGGAAGATGTTGGCATCATTACTAGGCCTTTCTCTTCAGTCTGTTCAGTTGCTTACAGAAAGCAAACCAAATTCACTTTCTCATGGAGACCGCTGAGTGAATGGTGTTCCTCCTTTTGATGGACAAGGGCCAGTGAGGCAAAGAAATGGGGGCAGGGCATATGAATGTAGCATGATGTAACACCACCTCCTTATTACCTCATGGAGAAAAGATGGGTACTGGAGGGGAATTCAATTAATAGGGGCAAAAAAGGCACATTGAGTGGGCTTTCTTCTATAACATGATAAACCCCATCTCTTCTTAGGTAGGCATCCTTCAGTCTCGAGAGACCACGGAAACGTGCTCTGCATGGAGGTCCCGGAACAGCGTCCAACATAGCCGAGAAGGCCAATTCGAGAGTGACAATCCCTTCCACAAATCTAATCTTTCCCCTGTCCAGCTCCCTGGTTTGGCTTGTTTCGGGGAGGCG